TGAAAGTTTTGTAGAGTCAGAAAAGCTTGAGGATGCTTTGAAGATAGGTGCAGAGACAACACCAATTAAAAAAAAAGAGGCAGGTATTAATTCCAGGGAAAACAAAAACTTGCACAAGAAAGGAAACCTACTCATAACATACTTACTACATAGCTAACCTGTGATGCACTCTGCAAAAGTCAGTCATGTAAATACTGATCGTAATTTGTGATATATTTAGCTATACTGAGAGGACGGGGAAGAGAAAAAAGAGGTTCTGTGTGTTTGTTTGTAAGGAGGTACTGTAAGTGAGCTAAATCCTCATCTTCTATAGAATCAAATAGTTGAAATATTGAGAAACAGCATTTTATGGAAATACATAAGAGAGAACAACGAATTGAAGTGGTCACCTCAGGGAAGCAGAAATAAAGAATGAAAGAGAGGAAGCTGCTCTCTGTCATCAGCCTTATGGTACTATACGACTGTCTGAGCTATGTCATGTATTATTTGGATAAAATAAACAACATGCATTTTAAGGAGACTAAACGAAGGGACTCCAAGTTTTTAAAGTTAAGGAAAACGTATCTTCGAAGAGATTTCCATGATGGCTGTGAATACTGGAGCTCTGTTCTTTTTGTGCAGATTTTATGGCAGGCTAAAAAGCTTAGAGTAATACACCTCACAGGGGACCCAACACATTCTGATAAAATAAAATTGAAAGGGGAGCACATTCCTTAAAACATGAGCATATATGTACTCATTCTGATGTACACAGCCACAGGGGACGCACGTGTAACGTATGAATGAACTAGCACAGTCGTCCACGATTTATCTAGTCCCATGATTGCAACTACTAAAAATTAACATCACCTTTCAGAAATTATCCACTTTCCACTCTTCCGTGTAAAAGTTAGACTTGGGCTCTAGGTATCCCTGCACCCTTTCCTGACCACCAAGCAGTCATTTGCTTTGGGTTTACTCCTTTCCTAGTTGGTCCGTTGTGTTTCTGTTTGTCAGGCAGAGACTGAGCTCGCCTTTCCCACAATCTCATTGTTGTTCTGCTGGTTCAAGATAGCCACCTCCTATCAAAGGATTCCTTTCAGACTTGCCTTTCCAGTTCTTCTGTTTGATTTCAAAAGCAGCTCTGTGTTACTGGTGCTCATGCTCTCTCCATTGGAGCTGGAAATCCACTGTAAACATATTTTTGGCCTGAACTTTGATAATTGCCATGTTTAATGACTCCTTATGTTTAAGACACAGTATTAGGTACTATGCGAAAAATAGTGGGGAGAGGAAGGGGGGTGGGAAAGAGAGAGAGAGAGAGGGGGAGAGAAAGAGAGAGAGAGAGAGAGAGAGAGAGAGAGAGAGAGAGAGAGAGAGAGAGAGATTTCCTGTCCTTCAGAAACAACGAAATTAGGAAAATAGATAGACATGACCAAAGTAAGCTAGCTATTTCATCGCAGAAACATGTATTTCAAAACTTAGAGGGAAATCTAGAAGGTCCACTACACGAGGAACAGAAGTTCCAGAAAGTAAAAAAAAGAGAAAAGGGACAGAAGTGATAAAAAAATAATATAAGAACATAACCTAGAGAAGATTTGAAAGTTTATAATGGTGGAAGTTTTACTGATATTCTCATTGTCACTATTTTAGCTGAAGTTTTACAGGAAGTAAGAGATGATATGGAGTGAAAAGAGGAGGTGGAGAGAGAAAGGAAAAGAGAGTGAATGTGGGGAGAAGGGTTTTGGAAGCATTTTCTAAAGCAGGGATTCACAACTAATACCATATGTAAATGAACAGAAAATAATGGTGTCACCTCAGTCCCACTGGCAAATTGCATAAATAAGAATTTTCTTTTAAAGAATTAGCAAAGTACAAACTTTTTTAAAATAAGGGATTTCCCTTCCTTAACAAGTATTTTTCCCGATTGTAGAATTAGCATACAGGTATGGTAGAAAATTTAGAAAATTCAATAAAGCATAGAGAGGAAAACAATAATCACTCATAATTTTACCAACCAGGTATACCATTCCTGATATTTTAGTTATTCAGTTTTTTCTATATGTATTAAAAAACACAATCTGGGTTGTAACATACAAAGTGTTGTATGATCTGCTTATTTCTCTCATTCTGTGAACATTTCCATGTGATGTTAACAAATCACTCAATATCATGATTTCCATGTACATTATTTTTCCAAAATACTTATTTTGGTTTCAGTGTTTCACTATTATCAGTAACACCAGGAGCATAATCTTTGTACATAAACCCTTGTTCAATTCTCTAATTATAAGGAATGCTACATAAATTCTGAGAAGTGAAATTTCTAGATAAAACATATTGAAAATTTTGAAATAAGTTTTGTTTCTTTCTATGTTTGGTTTCCTCTTTTTAGAAATATCCCGAAACCGAGTGACTTTCTATTCTTTCCTGAGAGAAATGACATTTTTTTTTTTTTGGCAAAACTCCCAAACAAGTAAACATCTGTATATAATCATTATCTTAAAATAAATATTCTACTGTTATTGACTTTGGTGTTCAAATCAATCATGAAAACTACGTGTTGATCACGGTCCTTGTGGCCAACAAAGAATAAAGTGAATTTTCACTAGTAACAGCAGAAAACAAATTTGAACTACTAGGTGTAATTATATTTTACGTCTCGCCTGTAATTCGTGCACGTGTTTGTGCAATGTATTCGCATCTAGTGTAATTAACTGTTCTGAGAGCTATGTAAATACTGCTCCTCAATCAGATAAAATCATGAAATAAATGGTATGTTTGCGGAAAGATATTCACATGTTTATATGTATATTTTGAAGCTTGTTTCAAACAGTGGCGAGTTAATATTTCATTAAAAAGCATGTTTTCGCTTGATGGTTCTTTTTCAGGTGAGAAAGTGATTATTCTAACAAAGCCTGAAGAAGGAAGATGCTGTCCACCCTGAAAATACCTCATGAAATGAAAGGAACAGAGGAGCTCACAGATTTCATCCAGAAAACCCATTGCTTTCCTTTCTTCACCTGACCTGGGTCCTTTTAGAACATGGCCTCTGCAGCCCAAGGCGTCAGTTACTTATAGGCAAGCCTCAGGACCTGAAATGAGGACCTTTAAAATTCCTGTTCCAGCAAAGACAAGAACTTCATCCCAAGTTAGCAAATTTCAAAGGGCACTAAGTGAGGGTGGGGCGTGAGGCTGGGTTCAGTTGAACCCACATGTCTGCAGAGCCTGTGAGTTACAATGAATCATCTTTGGCTCAGAGGAAATACTTTGCTGCAGCTAGAGTAGAAACAGTGAATGTAGAAACAGAATTTGTATTAAGATTAACAACAGACCATTCTGACAGCTTGTGATCTCATAAACCTCGAACGCGTCTGGGCTACAACAAACGTCTCTGTATACTACCTATATTTTTTGCCTGCTTCAGAACTCAATATGGAAGCGTCTACGATGTTGCAGTTTTCCAATGATATATATTTTTTAATGAAACCAAGATAAAAGTTCACATTTTCCATGATATTTTCTAACAGCTACTGATTGCAGCTGATGTAAACCAAGCTATGGTTTTATTTCTCCAGACAGCATTTCTTCAGAGCTGGCCGGCATGTGCAGACAAGAAACCACTGTGAGGTTTTGGGGTTGGAAGGCTGTGAAGAGGGACAGGCATCAAGCCACCGAGCTCAGGCCTGTCTCTGCAGGCCAGTACCACCTCCAGCTCTGCAGCCTCCATCACGTTCATGGAGCGGGG